ATTTGGCCGCCGGGTATCGTATAGTTGTTAACGTTTATCACAATTAAGTTACACCAAAACCATCAATTAAATAAGGAACCAATTTCCGCGTCCTAAACTATAGAGCCTTTCTAAAGCATTCTATATTTGTGGTGAGGTATAGCGACACATTCACAAGAATAATTTCCGTATTAATTACAAAATAATTATGCCCCGGATTAAACGTAACCGACATTACAGCTACATCTGTATATCTATACCATATATTATGTATTTTGTTTCTAGCTTGTGAAGTTGATGGAGAAGTGCGCGCCGAGGGAGATGTGTGGCAGAAGCCCATCGGTTCTTCTGAGTGGGGATGTAAATTGGAATGTTCATGTTGTGAAGGACGAGAACACTGTGCTTTGTACGTAACAATTTTCAATTTATTAAGCCAATGTTAGTCCTATATATAATTCTTGAGAATGTATTGTTTTAATTCTAGTAACTCTAATACCTATATACTAATTCTAATATTAATAGTAATTCCATATTTAATAGGGTTAGTTATTGTGACCATATATCGTTATCCGCTATTTTAGCTCTAATGGTTGCGACATAGACACGCAATCAGTACGATTTTATGGTAAAAGGTTACGACGGCGACTAATGTTGCGACTCATTTATCGTTCTGATAACACATTCCTGACCTCTATATAAAACAAGGCCATAGAACGTTATTTGAACGCAATCATCGATTAATTTTTACGTTTACTGCCTGTGAATCTATTGTCATGCATTTCAGGGTCACAAACGTTTTACTGCGATGAATTGATATTCTCGTTTGTATGGTTATGTCCACGTAGCGAAATCTGCAAACCGAAAACAACAACAACAACAGCAACAACTATATATATATATATATATATATATATGTGTGTGTGTGTTGTGTTGTGTGTGTGTGTGTGTGTGTGTGNTTTCTATAAATGATAAGTGCATTTAAAAAATGATAAGAATAAATAAATATAGGACTCATTTGCTACACATGCCACATTCATAGATAAATACAAAAACCTAACTTATGGACCTACTAAGGAAAAAAAAAATATTAGTTTGTTTTATGTTCGTCGTTTGTCCATATAATTGTTGGTGTTAATTACTATCCCCCTTTTATCTATACATTGTCTGTAGGTTGTATTTGACCACGATGGAAAACCATTTAATGTGGAGAAATCGTCAGATACGCAAACTCATGCTACAAGGTACTTGCTTCCGCATCACCAAAATCTAGGAGCATTATTTAGACGCTTCATGGCCGCGATCCCGCAACACTTACCATTAATAATCAGTGCTCCAGATCGGACTTGAATATATATCGCTACAATTAATTTAATTAACATTTGTGTAATAACATTTGTTATTTATGAATATGTTCTTAGGGGGCCAAGTCTTGAACACCGTAGCTAGTAGAAGCTTATATATATATATATATATATATATATATATATATATATATATATATATATATATATATATATATATTAATATATATATATATATAGCATATAAATTACGGGTTAGAAATCATCAATCAAGTATGCATTTTTATTCGCCCAATTTTTCTCGTAAATAGAAGTCATAATTATAGTCGTTAGACTATATTTTACAAACCAACTGTTCTTGCTTACAGCTAATATTTGATATAATTTAATAATATAATAATTTGGCCGCCGGGTATCGTATAGTTGTTAACGTTTATCACAATTAAGTTAGACCAAAACCATCAATTAAGGAACCAATTTCCGCGTCCTAAACTATAGAGTCTTTCTAAAGCATTCTATATTTGTGGTGAGGTATAGCGACACATTCACAAGAATAATTTCCGTATTACTTACAGAATAATTATGCCCCGGATTAAACGTAACCGACATCAACAGCTACATCTGTATATCTATACGATACCATATATTATGTATTTTGTGTCTAGCTTGTGAAGTTGATGGAGAAGTGCGCGCCGAGGGAGATGTGTGGCAGAAGCCCCTCGGTTCTTCTGAGTGGGGATGTCAATTGGAATGTTCATGTTGTGAAGGACTAGAACACTGTGCTTTGTACGTAAACATTTTCAATTTATTAAGCCGATTACTATTTACTAAGCCTTATACAGTATATAACTCTTGAACATGTATTGTTTTAATTCTAGTAACTCTAATACTCATATACTAATTCTAATATTAATAGTAATTCTAGTTTTAATAGGGGTGGTTCTTGCTTCTCTTAAATAGTTATTGCGACCATATATCATTATCCGCTATTTTAACTCTAATGGATGCGACATAGACACGCAATCAGTACGATTTTATGGTAAAAGGTTAGGACGGCGACTAATGTTGCGACTCATTTGTCGTTCTGATAACAGTGTTTGTGTGTGTGCTGCTCTGATTAACACATTCGCTGACCTTTCCCTATAAAACAAGGCGCTATAGAAACGTTATTGACGCAATATATCGATTAAGCCAATTTTTACTGTTTACTGGCCTGTGGAGATCTATTTCATGCATTTCAGGTCACTTAACGTTTTACTGCCGATGAATTGATATTCTTGTTTGTATCGTTATGTTCCACGTAGCGAACATCTGCCAAACCGAAAACCCAACAACAACAACTATATATATATATATATATATATATATATATATATGTGTGGTTTGTGTGTGTGTGCTGTGTGTGTGTGTGTGTGTGTGTTCGTGTGTTGTGTGTGGTGTGTGGTGTGTTGTGTGTGTGTGGTGTGGTGTGTGTGTGTGTGTGGTGTGTTCTGTTGTGTGTGTGTGTGTGTTTGTGTGTGTGTGTGTGTGTATGTGTGTGTGTGTGTGTGTGTGTGTGCATATGTGTGTGTGTGTGTGTGTGTGTGTGTGTGTGTGTGTGTGTGTGTGTGTGTGTGTGTGTGTGTGTGTGTCGGCGCGCGCGTGTGTGTGTGTGTGTGTGTGTGTGTGTGTGTGTGTGTCTGTGTGTGTCTCACTATATTCACTACTTTGACTATATTGCCACATTTCGGGTTTCCTAAAGGTGCCTGCCGCCACCTTTCCTGGACGAGAATCCTGGATGCTATTACATACCAGACAACAGCAAACCGTCACCACCTGCCCCGTGTGCAGGACGGGGCAGTTATGGTCCACCTCCAATGTTACTGGGCCTTACTCCGCCGTGCTGTCCCACTAAGGACACGGCTAGTCGCATCTGCAGAACAGACGCCTCCTTTGATCCGGAGAAATACGCACAGTAAGCTTCCGCCTTATCCATTAACAACATAAACATTAATATAATGTTATATATTAACAACATAAAGAGGTATCGAGATACATCATTTTTGTGGTATCGAATTATACCATGAGATGTAGGTAAAACAAAAACCATTGCCTTTAGAGAAATAACAATGTCGAATGACGTAATAAATACTAAATGTAAGAAATATGAGTATGCGGGTTGTCCATATTATGATTTCGACTACATGCTCTATACATTGGAAGCCACATGATAAAGTATGGCAAAGGTTTTTGCACTCACAACGTGGGGTTAGGTCGCGACCCTATTAACCACTCGCCGGACCCGCACAGCATCTATTAATATCTGAAAAGAGTGAAATTATGAAGCGTCTTTGGTATATCTCGCTTTGTCTGTTACAACACTTGCAGGTACCTGCTTTTCTGGATGGCACCAGACTCAGCCGCAGAAATGCCGGACAGCAGTGATCCCAACTATCTGCAGGAGCTGGAGGCCCACTTTTGGAATCAAGTGGGACCGGAGGGGCCGAAGGGGCCTTTGGGACCGGAGAAGCCGAAGGGCCCGTGGAAAGAAACAGATGATGCATAAATATATTCCAGCGCGCTATGAGGCATACACGCTGCTCTATCTAAGACCGAAGCCTAATCACAAACAATTGTTATTAATTACTACTCAACAAATGCCGTTTCAATTTGCAAGAGGACTATTTCAAATAGTCTATAAGAAAAATTGATGTTTGGACTAATGTTATGGCTTGTTTTGTTTCTGGCAACGAGCCCCTGCTATCCAAGTTGTAGAACAAATAAAGTTTAATGCGTACATCAGACGTGTACGAACACAACCATGCATTACATTGTTAACACCTTTTTTTCTGTTCGTGCGCTTAATCCGAAAGAAGAACGAAAAACTATGTGATGCGATGTGAATTGTTATGAAAGTCGGCGGATTATTTTTGACTTGTGTAATTATTTCTGTCATAGAGCATTTATCTACAAAAGATTCAAATACATGAAAACACAGGCATAGTTCAGAACTGCATTCTTAATTACGTACCAGAGGAGATCGTAACCAAATCGACCAACAGCAAATTATATATATGAAAAAGGATCGCATTCTGTATGTTATATTTGGGATTATTCAAACGCGGTTCTGCTGCGGTGTTCAGTGAACGCATAATCGTATGTAACGATTACAAATAAATGTTCTATGGGTAAAGTTTACATCTTACACCTATTCAGTGACATGGCCAGATATCTTAATTATCTAATTATTTAATTATCTCTCTTCATCGGGCTATGAAATGACAACAGAATGGAGCCGGGTAAAATATTAAAAGAAAATACAATTCGTTGCCATATGATTAATGAATAAAAATAAACAACAACACAATATAGTGAAAAAGAATATTTTAAACAATGCGCGTTAGCACGATGACAAATAGAAGAAAATATATGAAAGTCGTAAACTTCATGTGAACTTCATATATACTATATATATATCATATACATATAACCAAAAAGGATACAGAAATGCAGCAATTAATAATATAACATATTATAAACACATGCGCGCGGACACACACACACACACACACACACACACACACACACACACACACACACACACACACACACACACACTTGCGCGCTCGCGCGCGCGCACACTGGTCAGTTAGAAAAACAAGCCATATAAATCACACGGAATTGAAGTTAATATTTATACCGCCTGGCATCAAACAACCAACACTCAGTATTATTTTCTGCTCAGTCATGTGTCGACGTGAGCTGTCATAATCCGTAGTCAATTGGCAACCACAGACACGTAGGTTATCAACACTGTGACCCGGTTGGTTGAAATGGTTATAAGTGATCAATGTACGAGTATTGCACCGTTTCCGAGAATACGGGTATGAGCCACGTTGTACGGGGCGCCATGCAGGACAGGCCTCAATTCTGTCTTACAAAACTCACTTTTGTGCACAAAACTCAATTCTGTCTCACAAAAGTCAATTTTGTGAACACAAAACTCAATTCTGTCAATCCTGTCCCACAAAACTCAATTTTGTGAGCACAAAACTCAATTCTGTCAATCCTGTCCCACAAAACTCAATTTTGTGAACACAAAACTCAAATTCCTGTCAATCCTGTCCCAGTAAAATCAATTTTGTAAAGCACAAAACCCCAATTCTGGTCACTCCTGTCGCCACAAAACGTCAATTGTAAACACAAAGACTCAATTCTGTCATCCTGCTTCCACAATAACTAATCTGTCATCCGGTTCGCACAAAACTACGACTGTGTTCCCAACATATGGCACACCAATGTAAGGAGGCTACCAATTGGTCCAGAAACTGCTGGAGAATGGTGACTAAGTTTAAAGAAAACAAGATGGCGACCGCGTACACATTTCTCCTCAGCGCCAGTTTCTGACCAACTAGTAGCCCTTTTTTTTTTTGTTTTTTTTCTTCTTAAAAATGCTGTGCATAATTTGGCAACAAATCGAGTTTTGGGAACGGATTGACAGAATTGAGTTTTGTGTTACAAAAATTTAGTTTTGGGGACAGGAATGTGACAGAATTGAGATTTTGTGTTCAACAAAATTTAAGTTTTTGTGGGACAGGATTGACAGAATTGAGTTTTGTATTCACAAAATTGAGTTTTGTGGGACAGGATTGACAGAATTGAGTTTTGTGTTCACAAAATTGACTTTTGTTAGACAAAATTGAGTTTTGTCCCACAAAACTCATTTTTGTCAAGTTTATAGGTACATAAATGCCTGTCCTGCATGGCGCCCCGTACGTTGGCTCACAGGGTTGTCAAAATTGTATACAATACTTGAAACAAGAGTGTAGTGGGGGTTAGTATCACCTCTGTAAGAGCATAAAGAAGATGTTATGTTAGATTTTTTTAGAATCTATAATTTCCAATTAACAAACGTTTAATGTGTAGGATTGAAGGGCGATTTGAATAAAGTGATATGAAGTTGAAGTTAAAACCAATGGATATCTGTCCGAATTTTTTATTCGCGCCGCCTTTTCTAGGGCTTATTAACGACGCCAAAATTAAGGAAAGTATCTTTTTAAATGCTTTGGTACATCAGATTGACCGTAGCGACGGCGTGTAAACATTCAATCATGTTGGAAGAGGTTGTATGAAAATCAACTTTTGAGCTGCATATTTTGTAACCATCATTTGAAAAGCGGGAGACTCTTCATAGGATGGCGATAGTGAGAAGACGAATACATTAGATATATGGAATGGGTGTCAATTTGTCTAGAAAACACCGAGGCAACTAAGTTTTTACCAGAGATAAGAGCAACCATGTCCAGGAAAGGAAGCCTATCAGATAATGTAGCATGTGTAGGCTATATTTTAGACAGGGGTGGAAAGATGTAACATGGTCGATAAAATTTTGCAAATCGAAAGGTTTCATAGAGGCGGCTCCAATAACACAATCAATGTATATAAGATAGAGGCTAGGTTTAGGTCTAGTAAATGACACGAGCATTTTGGCTTCAATATAACCGAAAAATAAACAATTAAGCACAGCTAGGACCCATCTTAGTACCCATAGTCACGCCTTTACATTGAAAATAATACTACGCATCAAAAGTAAAACACGTTTTAGTTCAGACGATCAGAGACGTATCAGGATAGGATAATTATCAGAACACTTGTATTGAAAGTAACGTAAAGCGATTAAACCCTAATTATTAGGTAATACAGTGTATAAAGATTTTATGTCCCGCGTGAATATGACTTTATCCCGATCATCGTTAAAACGAAAATTCTCGAATATATATGGTTAGAGCAAGAGACGTATCATTGCCGTGCCTTGGTAGCGATTGTACCATAGGTGACAGCAAGTCTTCTAAGAAAGCCGAGATCTGTTCAGTAGAAACACCACAGTTAGAAACTCCAGGACGCCCCGGTGTTTCAAGCTTATGTATTCTAGAAAGCATGTAGAATCTGGCCGCTAATTTAGATGCTTGGATTAAAATATTGGACGCTTCTTTTGGAAGATAGTTATTACAAATAAATGATGTGATTCGATTTCTGACGAGGATTTGAATTTCAGGAGTTGCATCACAGTCAAGTGTAGAATAGAATTTTTTATCCGAAAGTTGTTTTTCACATTCCTGAATGTATAGATCTCGTCTCCATTAGGGTCCCTATAGGTGTTGATCAACAGTAGAGACCGTCCATAGGCTGCAGGCCTGAATAAGCATCGAACAGATATTAATTAAAAATACTCACACTGTTACTTCGCTTACACAACATACACTTTATTCATGTTAAATAACTACAGATTCATGCTCTATGCTCCGCTCGAAACTTTTGCCAGCTCTATGATTGCGAATTTCTGCAAAGTTGTCTCAACACATTTCATACACAAAAAACACCAACGCGTCGCTCTGACTACGCCACCTGACGGAATCTCAACGAATACAAAACAAAAATAATTCTTCACTTCTAATGCTTTCTCCACGTCCACGAGGCATCCAACTGCCGTGCACAATGCTAATTATTGCACTCTAGTACCGATTTCGGCGGAAAAAAAAATGCCAAAAAAGGCCTTTTCTAGAGACGAAGTAGTGCAACGGTGAACAATCGCGGACGCTTACTGTTACACGCCTCCTTAAAGCAGCAGCAGAGATACGGATCGACTTGAAATTTTAGATGAATGGTTTCGACCCTTTTCCTTATACGGGTACCGAATTTCAAAGGTGGCATGACTCCACGAGCTGAGATATCGCTCTCTGAAAAGAGCCCCCAAAACACAGAAATCAATGTTCGCTTCATGCGGTTATGCGTAGTGTTAGAACGAGGTTAGGGTAAAATGCAAGCATTAAAGTTAGATTATTTGACACTGTTAGGGTTAGTAGTGCCACAATAGAGTAAAAGAAGATAATTATCGATTTTTTGACACCAAATGTGGTGAAAATTAAGTGTATTTTATGTAAATACATGCAAATATGTATCACGGATATGTACATGTTTTACCATAAAAAACATGTATAAATGTTATTTGAGCATGCATGTGACTAAAAACATGCTAGAGCACTAGCATAACAGATTTTCATTACCATAAAACTCAATTATTCGACTTCCTTGGCAAAAGGCACTCTTTAACAGGTGGCTTTAGGTGTTGATCAACAGTAGAGCCGTCCATAGGCTGCAGGCCTGAATAAGCATCGAACAGATATTAATTAAAAATACTCACACTGTTACTTCGCTTACACAACATACACTTTATTCATGTTAAATAACTACAGATTCATGCTCTATGCTCCGCTCGAAACTTTTGCCAGCTCTATGATGCGAATTTCTGCCAAAAGTTGTCTCAACACATTTCATACACAAAAAACACCAACCGGTCGCTCTGACACGCACCTGACGGAATCTCACGAATACAAAACAAAAATAATTTTACTTCTAATGCTTTCTCCACGTCCACGAGGCATCCAACTTGCGTGCACAATGCTAATTATTGCACTCTAGTACCGAATTTCGGCGAAAAAAAATGCCAAAAAAGGCCTTTTCTAGAGACGAAGTAGTGCAACGCGTGAACAATCGCGGACGCTTACTGTTATTACGCCTCCTATATACAGAGAGTTGCGACATAGGGACCCTAGTCTCCATACAACAACGACTCCCCCTATTCGGGCGGGTTTAATCACGGTGTCCTCACGATCTCACACGGATCGAATAGCTGCAAGCTCCCTCGCTGATAACTTAGAATATCGAGCTCTACGTAGATTTAAAATATAATCCGTATCTTCTTGACGATTCTTTGAGATGTAATAATCTAGCGCTCCGAAGCGACCTATTTGCGGGGTCTAAGTGAAAGTGTCTTATAGTAGACATGCTAAGTGTTTTTTGACTTCAACTCATGCTACAAATGGCCCCTTTGGCCATTAGGAGTTCCTTAGAACCCTAGGAAAAAAATTATCCAAAGACACACGTTCTATCTCAAATCAAGATGGCGCCCGGTGGCCATTTTGGAAAACTTGGTCGACTCACAACTCCTGAACCGTTTGTCATAGAAACTATTGTGACACATGTTTTTTGAGCTAATTTGAGGTCACTGGAATTCATTTTTGGCATTAATTTTGCATATTGGAATTACATTTTAGAGGTAAAAATTCAAGAAATAATACACAAAGTTGGCATTCGATGAAATTTATGGCAAAAAAATTTACCCTGGGCATTTTGATATTCTAGCAGAAAGGAACTTAGACTTAGGCCATCCTTAAAAAATGCTATTCGTACACATGCCATTGTATCAAGCAACTAGACAATGCGTCTCTAGACAATGTATCTAGACAATGATGTTCGATCAATCACTGCGGAACTCTCCTTGAAGGTGGAATAGTAGGTCTTACTACACCACTAACCCTACACCCTACCACCACTACACGCAATCCAGCTACTGCAAACATGTCAAATTTCGTTGTTGTCTTTAGGTTAGTCAATAATGAACCCTAAAAGCATGGTTGAAATCGTGACTGGAGCTTATATGCTTCATATGCCAAATCAGGTGAAGCGTCATAAGCCAACTATGAATCCTTCATCATCAGTGAAATTGCGAAAATAATCCGGAAAGACTTTTAGCTTGTTACAAAGAAGTTGTTGGACAACATGCAGGACCTCATGGAATTAGGTGATTTGTCTGACTTTGTAGTTGTAGATAGCACTGGTTGGTGGTGGTGGTGGTTGGTAGTGCTCAAAATCTACTGAAGCTAATGATGTGTAATCAAGTGGTGTGGCATAAAAGTTGCAGGAATCTGTTGACATCAAAAAGTGCAGAGGGCAAAGAAGAAACATTAAGACCAAGAGTCAGTCAGCCCTTGTAAAAACTCTCTGCATGAACAGTGGTGCCATGTCCATCACACAGGCTTTCCCCACACCCTCTACATCTTTTAGTAACCAGTTGACACTCCATGTCTCTTCTGCTGATGAAATGGGCAAAACAGGAAGATAATGAGGAAGGCTGCACTCTTTGGCCTTGGACAAGAGAGTCAATGATTGTGATAGACTGTTAGGTAACAAACGTCTGTTGGCAAAAAACTTCCACTGGTGATATGATTGCCATTAATGCTGTCTACCATTGTGCATGATGCCTGACACGGCTATACAGAAAAGTGGAGACAGTCGGTTGTGACATGACTGAGAGTCATAAACCTCAATGTGATGCGAGCACATGTTCTCAATGATGTAGTCGACTTCATTGAAGATAATCGTAGTGCAGGCACCTCAATAGCAATGGCTGACATAACAGCCCCTCTATGACAAGCGCCTTGCTGTTCTCGGTTTTTTCCCACATCAAATACAACCACAACACGCCTTTAGAGAAGAGGAATAACGCATGATCCCTGACATCAAGCCAGTAAAAATAGTTACATTAGAGGTGACGTTCTCCTCTTTATCTATATCCCCCCCTCCGTCTCTCTCGTGCCCAGCTCTCTGTCTCTCTCGTGCCAGCTCTCTGTCCGTGCCACTCTCTGTCTCTCTCGTGCTCAGCTCTCTGTCTCTTCGCTGCCAGCTCTCTTCTCTCTAGTGCCAGCTCTCCTGTCTCTCTCTCTCTCCTCGTTCGTTGCGCCGTCTCTCTCTCTCTCTCTCTCTTCTCTCTCTCTCTCTCCCCCTCTCACTCGCCTCCTCTCTCTGTCCCCCTTTCTCTTTCTCCCTCTCTCTTTCTATCTATGTATCTATCTTCCTCCCTTCCCCTCTCACTTCTCTCTCGAGCTTTCCCCTCTCTTTCACTCTCACCCCCTCTCACTCCGCTCGCTATCTCACCCCCTTTCTCTTCCCTATCTTTCTCTCTCTCACTCTCTCTCTATCGCCTCCCCCTCCTTTCTGACATCAGCCATTAGTTTGACTTCATTAGAAGCGACAATTGTTTGACAAGCGGAATCATATCTCAGGAGGAGGCGCATTTACTGCATCAATACCTCATACCAGCTAAAGATGTTCAAGGCCTCACTGTCTCAACCACGCAGAAATCAGAGGTGGCTGTTGTCAAAGGACCAACAAGCCAAGGTGACCCAGATTTGCTGGCAGCACATTCTGGTAGCAGCATCAATGAGTCTTGTGTTCTCCCGTGATGACTTGTCTGATTCAGGAGGTGGCTTATCAATACCCGGTCCATCAAGAAGCATGTGTAGAAATGGTTCTCAATGTAGGTGGGATGAATTCAGCTTCACATGCGTTTGGAACAGGAGCCTGTGAAAACCTGCCTCATGTGGAGATAGTCACGACGGAGGATCTTGGCTGCTTTGTGAAGGATGGAGACCTCAGTTGATGTACTAGTTGTCTTTCATATCCACAGCTTTGCTTAGATCCTCTTCAAAACAAGAGACAGCAACGATTCATTTTTACTTGGCTTGATGTCAGGGATCATGCGTTCAATCTCTTCTCTAAGGCGGTTGTGTTGTATTTTTATGTGGGAAAAACCGAGAACCGCAAGGCGCTTGTCATAGAGGGCTGTTATGTCAGCCATTGCTATTGAGGTGCCTGCACTACGATTATCTTCAATGAAGTCAACTAACTCATTGAGAACATGTGCTCGCATCACTTGAGTTTTATGACTCTCAGTCATGTCACAACGACTGTCTCCACTTTTCCTGTATAGCCGTGTCAGGCATGCCCAATGGTAGACAGCATTAATGGCGATCATATCACCAAGTGGAAAGTTTTTTGCCAACAGGACGTTTGTCACCTAACAGTCTATCACAATCATTGACTCTCTTGTCAAGCCAAGAGTGGCAGCCTTCCTCATATCTTTCCTGTGCCCATTTCATCACAGAAGAGAACATGGAGTGTCAACTGCGTTCACTAAAAGATATAGAGGCTGAAGGGAAAGCCTGTGTGATGGACATGGCACCACTGTTCATGCAGCGAGTTTTTACAGGGCTGACTGACTCTTGCGTCTTAATGTTTCTTCTTTGCCCTCTGCCACTTTTTGGATGCAAAACAGCATTCCTGCCAACTTTATGCCACACACTTGATTACACATCATTAGCTTCAGTAGATTTGGAGCACTACCACCACCACCACCACCATCACCACCACCACCACCACCAGTGCTATCTACAACTACAAAGTCAGGCAAATCACCTAATTCCATGAGGTCCTGCATGTTCGTCCACAACTTCTTTGTAACAAGCCTAAAAGTCTTTCCGGATTATTTCGCAATTTCACTGATGAACGAAGGATCATAGTTGGCTTATGACCTTCACCTGATTGCGACTATGAAGCATAAGCTCCAGTCACGATTTTCAACAATGCTTTTAGTGTTCATTATTGACTAACCTAAAGACAACAACAGAAATTGACATGTTTGCAGTAGCTGGATTGCGTGTAGTGGTGTAGGGCTGTAGGGTGTAGTGGTGTAGTAAGACCTACTATTCCACCTTCAAGGAGAGTTCCGCAGTGATTGATCGAACATTGCCATTGTCTAGATACATTGTCTAAGACGCATTGTCTAGCTTGCTTGATTACAATGGCATAGTGTACGAATAGCATTTTTTAAGGATGGCCTAAAGTCTAAGTTCCTTTCTCTAGTATCAAAATGCCCTGGGTAAATTTTTTTCCATAAATTTCATCGAATTTGCAACTTTGTGTATTATTTCTTGAATTTTACCTCTAAATGTATTCCAAATGCAAAAATTAATGCCAAAAATGAATTCAGTGACCTCAAATTAGCTCAAAAAACATGTGTCACAATAGTTTCTATGACAAACGGTTCAGGAGTTGTGACGTCACCAAGTTTTCCAAAATGGCCACCGGCGGCCATCTTGGATTTTGAGATAGAACGTGTGTCTTTGGATAATTTTGTTTCTGGTGCCCTAAGGAACGTATTATGCCTAAAGGAAACTTTTGTAGCATGATTTGAAGTCAACCCCCTATTTTGTGCTCTTAGCATGTCTACTATTATTGTGCTTGCAGAAATGATTGTCAGATTTCTGGTTAACAAGCTCATCATCAGCAGTGTTCGACTTCACAAAATGAGCTCTAAGGCGAAGGTGGCGGTAGAAACTGTCTACATCTCGCATATAGTTGAAGTGATAAATATGAGGTTTGATTGGTACAAAATTCAAACCTTTGCTTAAGATGACATGCACCGATTCTTCTAGTGAAAGTTTAGTTATAATGCATACGACAAGTTTTTTGTTATAATAGTAGGTTCTGAGTTGTTTGTCTAGATGATAAAGATTTATCGAGTTTAGCATGTTTCTTCTTGTTCAAATAATCATACCAAGCACTATTGGCGAAGGGGATTCTTCGGCGAATTTAATGGAAAAATTATATATATATATATATATATATATATTATCGATTATATCGACGTGCTATATGGTAGCACAATTGGTATATGGATTTTATCTTTATCATGCGGTTCCATTTTGCGGCTTATTCGAGGCCCTAGAAGCTGGGACATAATGCCACCCTTCTCTCTCTCTCTCTCTCTCTCTCTCTCTCTCCTTTCGCTCTCTCCTCTCTCTCTCTCTCTCTCTCTCTCTCTCTATATTATATATATAATATATATATATATATATATATATATATATATGTATGTATGTATATCTTTCTCTCCCTCTCTCTCTATCTCTCTCTCTCTCTCTCTCTCTCTCTCTCTCTCTCTCTCTCTCTCTCTTACGCTAGCTCCCCGTCTGTATTGCTAGTGCTATCGCTTACCCTCTTTCCCTTTTCGCGCGTGCCCTATATCGGCTACATTGTGTTGCTTACGGGATATGATAATAATAACATCCCGCACCAGATAGCTTCGAAATCCTATTTTTAGTAAAGAATACAATGATTTGTAATTCCCGTGCCATCAATATGACACATGAGGGCATTATTGTGACACTATGATTCGTGTATATGCATTGAATGCTTTCCCCTGGCAGGGATCTTTCAATTATTATCAAAATACATGAGGGTACCTGGTCGCATAGGGCCTATATATAAAATGAAAATATGCGGGATGTGTTACTTGCATGTGCTCTTCGTGTTCTGATATCAAAAATCGTACACAACTGACTGGTGTCATGTTGAAGTTTGGTGTTATCTTTCTTGTACTATTCGTTGTTCGTAGCAATTAATTAAGTAATTATTCGTTTACCGTCAGGTATGTTTAGTAGCTAAATTTATACCAAAAATTACTCAAGGAAAGAAAATGTTGCACGAATGTTTAAGAGGAAAAACTTAGTACCGAATATGTACTAGCACTCTTAGAACACCTAATCACGACGCTCAATTTTATTCTATTTAGCTATTGCGGAGTCAACTGCCGTTCTAACGATATACTCCATCATTCCGTATGAATATCGGTTTCGTTTAATGCGATTAGTCCTATTTTAATTCCATCTAATTAAGAGTTGGTTTATATTTCAATTAACACATAATTATAACTAAAATTATTAAATTTATTTAATGTTATATATGCGATTGTCATGTAGCATTGATAATAAATAATAATAATTATTATTTCAAGTCTCCTCGAGAAGTTGTTATTACTCCTTTCTTAATGCCAATCAATTAGCATTGATGATTGGTTTTAACTGCAGGATATTCACATGCATGATATTTGTGTAAATATATTGTGTTATTGTTCTTACTAATTAACGATTATTTTGTTTTTACCTACGTATATAAAACCGTAAATTGGCATTGGTCTGCGTGCACGAACCTGTTTTGCTACCCATGCATAAAACCTCATATAAAATTGTATACGTATTATCAAGAGCTAATAATAACTATTATTATATATTATATTATTATATTATAATGGGTAATATTAGCTCTGGGTATTATTGTATTCTTGATTAAATATATGTACGTTTAAATCACTGTGCTGGTCTGCTTACACGAACCTGTTTTGTAACTACCTCATAAGATCAACTTTCTTCCACCATGTCTTTATGTTAAATAGAAGTTCAAGCACTAAAATTGCTTTAATAAGTAATTAAATCAATATTTTTATTAATAATAAGTGCGCATGTAAATAAATAAATAAATAAATAAGTAAATGTATAAATAAATAAATAAATAAATAAATAAATAAGTAAATGTATAAATAAATAAATAGGTGAATTATTTTCTATACATAATTATATATACTGTACTATAATTTTAAAATACATGTAATTTATTGCCTTGTAAATTTTATATATGCAAGTTTGATTGCGACCGGTAGTACACGAAATGTATAGCTCGTTTTAAGGCTCCTCGTTTGCCGATATAATTGTTGGCGTTAATTACTACCCCCCTTTTATCTATACATTTGTCTGTAGGTTGTATTGACCACGATGGAAACCATGTTAATGTTGGAGAGGAATCGTCAGATTCAAACTCATGCTACAAGTGTACTTGCTTCGATCACGGAAATCTAGGATGCATTATTTATGACTGCTTCTATTGGCCGCGCAGCGTCCTATAGGAGAATTGTCATTCGTTCGAAAAAAATCATGTTTAGACTCATTTAGATGCTAATTAGGCCAATTTTGTTTTCAACAACCGGCCCCTGCTATCCAATGTGTTGAACAAATAAAGTTTAACGCGTACATCCACATTGGAACACATTGATGCATCTTATGCTCAATAAGTTATATGGTATGACGTTTTTGAAGATAGCGGATTTTTCATGAATTGTGTGATTATTTATGTCATAGAAAATTTATTAGATAGAAACTAATCCACATGAGAGTCAAACACATGAAAACTCAGGCATAGTTCAGAACGGCATTCTGAATTACGTACCAGAGGAGATCGTAACCAAATCGACCAACGTCAAATTACATAATATGAAAAAGGATCTGTATTATATTTGGGATTATTCGAACGTTCTTCTGTTGTGGTGGCCAGTAAATGCATAATAATACATGCATAGTAATCAGAAGTAGATAATAGGGACCACCCCTATTATAGGGATTCCCTATTATCTACTTCTGATAGTAATGTATATATTACAATCTCGGCGTTCGAGGTTCCTCTATGGTATAGTTGAAGACATATGAACTGTGTCACTGAATAGATAAAGTAAGGTGTGTAAGGTATAAACTTTGCCCCAAGAATATCTGTTTCTAACGATCACAAACAGATATTCTTGGGGCAAAGTTTATACCTTACACAAAAACTGTATCGCCCAAGAACTGTGTGCAACTATACCATAGAGGCACTACGAACGCCGAGATTGTAATACATGCATTATTTCTAATTACTCAACTTCGGGTCGGCAACATAAAAGTCCTGTCCTATACTTTGTGAGAAATACATTGGGGCGATAGACCACAAAACATTCACAGAAAGACATGCGCAAAGCATGGTGCGGAAAAACGAAGAAGGAATTACTACAAACAGGTAAGTTTTTTTATATAACCTTATTTAATATAATAAAGTAAATGGTAATAGTAGTCTACCGCCGCTGTTAGACAAAATCAATTAATTGCACGTGTCCAATAAATTATTTACACTTGCCAATATATCTCTAAATCGTATTACAGCTATGTGTTGCGTAGACGATATAGATGCAGACGACATCTAGTTATTTTATAAACAGTATTGCCAAGTACTTCCCTTCGATATAATTCAAGAACTTTAAAAACTTTTCCGAAGAATTCTTATTCGCTGGCACTAGTTTTCTCACATGAGCGAATAACGTTATTACATCGACGATAACAATATTAATTTGGGTGTTAACCGATTAATCATGATTAGACCTACTACTGTTATTATTATTATATTTATTATTATTATTATTAACTTGAAATTTGCAGCCAGTTGCGCGAGAAAGCACACGCTCATGCATTTGCATCTTCCGCTGCTCATATGAACAAAGCAAAGACCCAGGATCATCAACGTAATGATTATGAGAGCGTCGCGCTGGAAGCAACACGTGCGCTAGTGCCGCCCTACGCTACTACGTTTGATGATATTGTTACCATCAACATTAGTGGACTCATGTGATTTGCTCACTGATTTGCTCATAATGCTAGCGCTGTTATTGCAAAGGCATACACTGTGATTGAATCATAGCGACAGCATTTTATATGATGATAATACTAATATTATTATTAAATAATAATAATAATAATTTATAATAATAATAATCTAGTCATAATTCGAAGTATTCAAGCAGTTGTATGCGCACCAATGTGTACGTGGCCGACATGCTGTATCCAGCAGGCAAACGTTTGTATTGCTATTACAGCACAAAGTCCTTTCTCGCTGCAATTTCTACATAACGTTTGACATGCTTGTCATATGTTGTGTATTTAAGTTGCTATATCTAATTGTATACCTATTTGTGTAATCTCGGGCAGGTTTGAGACTACGTTATTGACGCTGAAAACCCACCCATCGACGCTACTGGGCGATGATCGAAAACGTCTGAAGTAGCCTACTTTAACCACACAAAGCAAGAATACTTTTTCAATCGAAACAGACCAAGCTTCGATGCAATTCTCTACTACTACCAGAGCTTTCAGTGGCATCCCGAAATGGGCGGGCGATTAATTAGACCCAGCAACGTGCCAGTTGACGTATTTGCAGAAGAAATAATTTTTTTCCAATTGGGCGAACATGTTTACGAAAGATTTCGTGAGGAGGAAGGCTTCATAAAAGAAGAAACGCCACCAATGCCGCAGAGTCACGTTCAAAAGACCTTATGGCGTTTGTTTGAGTACCCCGAGACGTCGATGGCGGCTACAATAATAGCAATCGTGTCTGTGATTTTCATATTAACGTCAATCGCAGCATTTATCATAGAAACGTGGCCACCATTCCCGGAAAAATACAAAGATAACACCGTTTTGGCTGACAACCCATTCTTTATCGTGGAATCCACTTGCATTGCCTGGTTTACAGTTGAATTCATAGTTAGATTCATCTGCTCTCCGTTTAAGTTGCCGTTTTTGTTTAGTTTTCTTAATATCGTCGACATTGTTGCCATTGTTCCGTATTATATCACCGTGTTTCTTTGGGCAGTCGCAGACGGCTCTTCGAACCAAGCTTCCAATCTCGCAATCTTACGGGTGTTCCGTCTTATTCGTGTCTTTCGCGTGTTGAAATTATCAAGGCATGCCTCCGGCCTCCAGGTTCTTGGCAAGACCATAAGTTCTAGTGTCAAAGAGTTAGCCATGCTCACATTCATTTCATACATCTATCAGCGTTATTCTCTATGGAGCTGCCATCTACTTCGCCGAGCATGAAGAGAATGAAGAGATGTTTGCCAGTATCCCACATTCTTTCTGGTGGGCACTAATCACCATGACAACTGTAGGCTACGGCGACGCGTATCCGATCACTGGCTGGGGTAAGCTGGTGGGTGCACTATGTGCAATTACTGGCGTGTTGAGTATTGCTTTACCCGTACCCGTGATCGTATCCAACTTCAGCTACTACTATCACAGAGAAAAAGACCAAACTGTATACGCGGACTATCTGTTTACTGACGACAAAACGGTCACTGAGGACTCAGATAATATCGGCTTTATAAACGACCACTTGTGATAGACTTTTACTGTGTTCCTAATCGTTGCACTTGCAATAACGCCAGCTCATGCATCTACCTCCACATGAGCATTAAGCAGTGGGTTCGTTTCGTTGTACTTGCTATAAGTTTAGAATTCTAGATATTTTAGATTAAAAAAAAGAGTTTCAAATGGATACGCCCAAAAGTGTTATCGCAACAATATGAATTTAAATAATGTTTCATTCTTTGATTAAGGCTGGACATGCAGTTACATATGCCATGCATGTAGCACAGTATCGCTATCTGTTGACTTATTAAAATTTATTACTGTTACGTCAGCCATGCAGTGCGCGGGGTATATAATTATGAATGAAAGGCATCGGTATATATTTTTAATGTCATGTCACTGCGACAAGAATGTGTTCTCTATATGACAGGAGTAGGAAAGGAGGCTTGTGCCTAGAAGCATACTATCAACGTCCGAGTACGGATATGCATTTCACTACCCGTGTTGTTGTATTACCACGTGCTATTAAATGCCTACAAAACAATAATACCCTAAATGTTTTTGTTGTATATTGTATATACACGCATCGACCGTCGGCGCTTGCAGCTGACTACCTGCACGTTACTACATCGCTGTATCACTACCTGCACGTTACTACATCGCTGTCTCACTACCTGCACGTTACTACATCGCTGTATCACTACCTGCACGTTACTACATCGCTGTATCACTACCTGCACGTTACTATCGCTGATATCATTACCTGCACGTTGTACTACTCGCTGTTCACTACCTACACGTTAGCTACATCGCTGCGATCGCTGCCTGACAGCTACATCACGGCGCTCTCACTACACGTGCACGTTTACTACGATCGCTGTCTCACTCGTGCACGTTACGTCATTCGCTGTCTCATCTACACGTGTACTACATCGCTGGCATCCGCGCCCCTGGCCACGTACTATCATCGCTGTATCGAGCTACCGACCGTTATCGTACTGCACGCGGCATCGCGTGCCTGCACTGACGACATGCGTGTCGCAACTCCTACACGTTACTGACATCGCTGCATGCGTGCCTCGCCACGTTACTCACGCTGTATCACTCTGGCGCGTTACTACAGTCGCTGTCTCCACTACTGCACGTTACGACTATCGCTGTCTGCACTACTGCACGTTACGGTACATCGCTGCTCTCACTGGACTGACAGCGTTGACTACATCCTGTTGCACTATCTGCACGAGTTACTACAGTCGGCTGGTCTCAGCTACCGTGCGACCGTTACTACATCGCTGTCTCCTTACGCTGCCACGTGAACATCACTGGTCCTCACTATCTAGGCACGTTACTACATGCTGTCTCTACTACCTGCACGTACTCCAGTTCACGCGTCTCACTATCTGCACGGTTGACTAATCACTGTCTCACTATCTGCACGTTTAGCTCATCCGCTGTCTCATGCTACCTGCCGTTACTACATCACTGTCTCCACTATGCTGCAGTTCGCGTCGCGTGTATCACCTGCCTGCACGGTTACTACATCGCGTGTGATCACTACCTGCACGTTATACTCCTGTTCGACTGACCTGGCACGGTTACTACATCACTGTCTCACTAGATGCACGTTACTACATCGCTGTCTCACTACTGCACGTTTACTTACTCAGTGCTCTCACTATCTGCACGGTTATACTATCGCTCCTGCTGTTACTACATGCTGCGTTCGCTGCTTGCACGTTGACTACATCGCTGTATTCCTACCTTGCCCACGTTACCATCGCTGTATCACTGCATGGTCGCGTTGAGCTACATCGCGGTATTCGCGGCCTGCACGTTCTACATCGCTGGTCACTAACTGCCGCGTTGACTACATCGGCGTCTCGCATACCAACACGTTACGTCTCGCGTGCTCACTAACCTGAGCACGATTACTACCTTGCTGTATCTGACCTAGCACGTTAAACTACGATCGGCTGTCTCCTACCTGTACCGTTACTACATGTTGCTGTCATCACTCACTGCACGTTAACGTAATCGCTGTATACACTGCTACACGTTTACTCCATACGCTGTATCACTGCCTGCACCGTACTACTCGCTTCCACTGACCTGCCAAGGTTACTACATCGCTGTTATCTACTCCTGCACGTTACGTACATCGGCTGTCTCACTACTGCACGTCTACTACATCGCTGTCTCCTACCTGCACGGTTAACTACATCCGCTGTACTCACGTGTCTGCGCACGTTACTACATCGGTGCAGTCACATGTACTGCGGTCGCTGCAGTGAGCGTTGCGTACATCGCTGTCGATGCCTTCGTTGTTGCTTGTTGTCTTATCTACCGGCGATCTCGCATCGCTGTCACTCATTCCGTTTAATTGCTACATCGCTGTCTCACTCCATTCACGTCTGCTGCATTGCTCTCACTGCGTTCATGACTTTGCTGCATCGCTGTATCACTGCATTCATATCTTGTGCCCGTCACTGTCTCACTGCATCAGTATCTCGACTGCTCGATGTCATCTCTGGGCGTTATATCTCTGCCGGCGATTGCTGTCTCACTGCATTCATATCTTGTTGCATCGCTGTCTCACTGCATTCATATCTTGTCTGCATCGCGGCTCGTCACTGCATTCCTATCTTGTTGCATCGCTGTATCACTGCATTCCTATCTTGTTGCATTGCTGTCTCACTGCATTCTATTCTTGCTGCATCGATGTCTCACTGGCATTCATATCTTGCTGCATCGCTGTCTCACTGCACTGTCATATCTTGTTGCATCGATGTCTCACTGCATTCATATCTTGTTGCATCGCTGTCTCACTGCATTCATATCTTGTTGCATCGCTGTCTCACTGCATTCATATCTTGCTGCATCGATGTCTCACTGCATTCATGTCTTGCGGCATCGCTGTCTCACTGCATTCATATCTTGCTGCATTGATGTCGCACAGAATGAATGCGCCTTGTTACACAGCTGTCTCGATCACTGCCTGCCACGTTGTCGCATTGCTGTCTCGACTGCCTAGCAGCGTTGGTCGACAAATTGCATGTCGTTTAACGTGACGTTGTCGCATTGCTGTCTCACATGCCTGCACGTTGTACGCATTGCTGATCTCAGCTGCTGCACGCTGTCGCATTGCTGTCTCACTGCCTGCACGCTGTCGCATTGCTGTCTCACTGCCTGCACGCTGTCGCATTGCTGTCTCACTGCCTGCCACGATTGTCGCCATTTGCTGTTCCTGCCTGCACGTTAGTCTGCATATAGCTGTCTCACTGCTGCACGTTGATCGCCCATTGACTGTTGGGTCTCACTGCCCTGCACGTTGTCGCGATGCGTGTCTCACTGCCTCGCAACGGCTCTCGCATTGCCTGTCTCGCTAGTTGCACGCTGTTGCATTGCTGTCTCACTGCCTGCACGTGGTCGCATTGCTGGGCTCTCACTGCCTGGCACGGTGTCGATTGGCTGTCTCACTGCTGCACGTGTGTCGCATTGCGTCTCGCTGCCTGCCGTTGTCGCTATTGCTGTTCTCCTGGTCTGCACGTTGTCGGCATTGCTGTCTCACTGCCTGGACGTTGTCGCCATTGGCTGTCCACTGCCCTGCCGGTTGTGCGGCTTGCTGTCTCGGCTGCTTTGGCCACGTTGCGATTGTGTCTCACTGCCTGACGTTGTCGCGATTGCTGGGTCTACTGGCCTGCACCGCAGTGTCCATGTGCTGTCTGCACTGCCTACCGCGTGTCGCATGTGCTGTCTCACTGCCTGCACGCTGTCGCATTGCTGTGCTCGCTGCCTGCCCGGCGTGTCGGCCATGCTGTCTCGCTGCCTGCGACGCTGTTCGCAGTTGCTGTCTCAGCTGCCGACACGCTGTCGCTATTTGCTGTCGCACTGCCTGCACGCTGTCGCCATTGCTGGTCTCACTGGCCTACACGCTGTCGCCATTGCTGTCTCACTTGCCTACACGCTGTCGCATTGCGTGTCTCACTGCTACACGCCCCTGTCGCATTGCTGTCTTCGTGCCTGCACGCTGTCGCATTGCCTGTCTCACTGCTTGCCGCGGCTGTCGCGATTGCTGTTCGGCTGCCTACGAACGGCTGTCGCATTGCTGTCTCAACTGCGCTGCCGCTGGTCGAGATTGTTGTCTCACTGCCTGGCACGCTTGTTCGCATTGCTGTTCGCTGGCCTGCAGGCGTTTGTCGCATTGCTGTCTCATCCCTGCACGTTGTCGCATGCTGTCTCAACTGCCTGGCCACGTTGTCGCATTGCTGCTCTCCTGGCTGCAGGGTGTCGCATTGCGTGTTTGACTCGGCCTGCCCACGGTTGTGCATTTGCTGTCTCGCTGGCCTTGCACGTTGTCGCATGCTGTCTCGCTGCCTGCACGTTGTCGCCGTTGCTGTCTCACTGCCGCCGCGTTTGCTCGCATTGCTGCTCGCCTGGCCGTGCACGTTGTCGCCATTGCTGGTCTCACTGCCTGCACGTTGTCGCCATTGTTGTGCTCACTGCCTGCACGTTGTCGCATTGCTGTCTCACTGCCTGCACGTTGTCGCATTGCTGTCTCGCTGCCTGCACGTTGTCGCATTGCTGTCTCACTGCCTGCACGCTGTTGCATCGTTGTCTCATTGCCTTTATATCTTAGTGCATCGCTGTCTCACTTCATCACTGTCTCACTGCAATGATGATCATCTTTTGCATTCATGAGATGATGCCTGAGATGATGTAGTGTTAGCTGTTCGTTCTACTTTATCCATGTGTTGCTTGCCATCTGCAAGTTTCGCTGGCATGTCCTTTATAATCCTACTTGTCATTCATTGATCATGTTGCCTGCACACCTTATGCCCACTAAGGTCCGTTGGCAGCCTTACGCAAGTAGTAACACTTCCAGATAATGAACCCGAGAAGTATGACTAAGAAGAGACCAATTAGAGGCAACAGTACGGTGAGAGTAAGCGGACTGTCGCGCTGTACCACTGACATCACAACCAACAGGAAAATGGCGCACACCAGAAGCGGCGCAGCAATTGCAAATATTGTCCCACGTCTTTCCTCTCTCATAAGCTTGTCAAGTGCTGAATGCGTGCTTGCCACGTGGGATGAAGCCATGACGGAGTCACATTAAGCAGTGCCTTTTGCTAAACGTAGATCCGTTTCAGTAGTAAAGAAACCAGGATAAAGTTTGTCGTAAAAATTGTGAATAATATTATGAAATTAATTCACGCAACCGAGTGAAATGTACACATTTATACTGACGTGCTCAGTTGGGCGAAACTTCCGATACCACCAACTATGCAGCTGTAACCGGATATATAGTCATGAAAGTGTAAAGGATGTGTAGAGAATATAAGCAAGCATGCCACGAAAGCATAGGGAAACCACGTCCTGCTTATATCCAGGGCCGTAAGCTGAGCAAATTCCTAGAGGGGGAGGCAGTGGCGGATTCAGGATTTCAAGGAGGGGTGCGAAACAAATCTGGGTCTGGGGGTCCTTCCACAGAAAATTTTGAAAATGTAGACAGCAGGAGATGATATTTGAGGCACTTTTGAGTACATGTACAGCCTTCATTCTGACTCCGACAATTCTCTTTTAGTAAAACAATTTTTTTTATAATTTTGCTTCAAAATCTAGCGGGGACAGCTGCCCCCTTGTCCCCCTGCCGGCTACGGCCCTGCTCTCTCTCCTTTCTCTCTATCTCCCTCACACCTTCCCCTTTCCCTCTCTAGCTCCCTCCCCTGACTCTCTTCCCC